TTCTTACCTGCCTTAAATTCTTTACTTAAATAAAGATATCTAGCCTAACTTACCTGCCTTAAATTATTCTTTACTTAAATAAAAATTTCTTACCTAATTTAAATTCTTTACTTAAATAAAGATTTCTTACTTAACCTAAATTCTTTACCTAAATAAAGATTTCTTACCTAACTTAAATTCTTTACTTAAATAAAAATATTTAGCTAAAACTAAATTCTTTACTTAATTAAAAATATCTAGCTTAACTTACCTGCCTTAAATTCTTTACTTAAATAAAAATTTCTTACCTAACTTAAATTCTTTACTTAAATAAAGATTTCTTACTTAACCTAGATTCTTTACCTAAATAAAGATTTCTTACTAAACTTAAATTCTTTACTTAAATAATTATATCTTGCTTATAAGGTAAAGGTTAAGGTAAAGAGGGAAAAAAAAAATTTTAAATCTTAAGTTAAAATAAATATAAAAAATATAATAAAATCTATTAAAAAATCTATATTTTAAAACTTCTCTCTGATTTTTAATAGCATTTTTTTAAAATTAATTATAAAATATTTAAAACTCTTATATTAAAACACCTTTAGCTTAGCATTATATAACTTAATAAAAAATATATTTTAAGTATAGTATAAACTAGAAATCTACTAGGCTTAAATAAAAAAGCCTTACTTAATAAAAAATACCTTTTTAGTTAGTTTAATTTAGTTTTTTAGTTAATAGGAATTAAGCTATATTATTAACCTTTTTTATTTTTTTTTACTTTTAGCTAAGTTATTATATAACACCTACTTTTATACTTTACTTTTACCCTTTACCCTTACTAATACTACTTAAGCCTAAGTAGCTTATATTCTTACTTAATACTAAATAATATACCCTCTTAACCCTTATTTAATTTAGTATTATTTAAAAGTATATTAAAGCTAAAAAGATAAGGCTGCTTAAAAAAGTACTATAATAAAAGTAAGTATAAGTAAAATAATTAAAAGTATTAAAGAAAATACTTTTATTAATAAAAGTTAGCGCTTACCTTAGTATTAACTACTAGCTTAAGTTAATTAAAGATTATATTTAGCTATATAATACTATACCCTTTTAATATCTTACTATTTATTAATAGTATTATAAATTTATATATATACCTTAGTATTAATATTCTCTTTACCTTTTTAAGTAACTACTTCCTTTTAATTATTTTACTTATTTAAAATAACTTTAGCTTTACTAATCCCTTTAATAACTTATTTAGCTAAGCTATTAAAGAGTTATAAGTAATAAAAGAGGAAGGCCTTTTTATACTAGCTAAAGATATAATAAAAGTAATACTAAATATTTTAAATAAATAACTAAAAGGGCTTTATAAGAAAATCTTAAACTACTATATATCCCTAGTTTTATTAAAGCTTATACTAGCCTTTAGCACTTTAAATATATAAAGTTAGAAAATATAAAAGCTAACTAGAGCTATTTAAAAAAATACCTTTTTTTACTAAGCTATTAAGTTTTTTATAGTTAATACTAATATATATAGCTTTTAAAAGACTATACTATAAGCTATTTATATATTTACTTAATATTACCTTAATACTTATACTAATTCTTATATTAACTTAATTATAAGGTGAAAACTGGTTTTATAAGTTTAGGTTAGAAATTATAAGGTGAAAACTAGTCTTATAAGTTTAGGTTAGAAATTCTTCGCCTAGATAAAGATTTCTTACCTAACTTAAAATCTTCACCTAGATAAAGATATCTAGCCTAACTTACCTGCCTTAAATTCTTCACCTAGATAAAGATTTCTTATTAAACCTAAATTCTTTACCTAAATAAAGATTTCTTGCCTAACCTAAATTCTTTACTTAGATAAAGATTTCTTGCCTAACTTAAATTCTTTACCTAGATAAAGATTTCTTACCTAACCTAAATTCTTTACCTAGATAAAGATTTCTTGCCTAACTTAAAATCTTTGCCTAAATAAAAATATCTAGCCTAACTTACCTGCCTTAAATTCTTCGCCTAAATAAAAATTTCTTACTAAACCTAAATTCTTTACCTAAATAAAAATATCTAGCCTAACTTGCCTGCCTTAAATTCTTTACCTAAATAAAGATTTCTTACTAAACCTAAATTCTTTACCTAAATAAAAATATCTAGCCTAACTTACCTGCCCTAAATTCTTTACCTAAATAAAAATCTCTAGCCTAACTTACCTGCCTTAAATTCTTTACCTAAATAAAGATCTCTAGCCTAACTTGCCTGCCTTAAATTCTTCACCTAAATAAAGATTTCTTACTAAACCTAAATTCTTTACCTAAATAAAGATTTCTTACCTAACCTAAATTCTTCACCTAGATAAAGATTTCTTACCTAACCTAAATTCTTTACCTAAATAAAGATTTCTCGCCTAACTTAAATTCTTCACCTAAATAAAGATTTCTTACCTAACTTAAAATCTTTACCTAGATAAAAATATCTAGCCTAACTTGCCCGCCCTAAATTCTTTACCTAAATAAAGATTTCTTACTAAACTTAAATTCTTTACCTAAATAAAAATATCTAGCTTAACTTACCTGCCCTAAATTCTTTACTTAAATAAAGATTTCTTACTAAACCTAAATTCTTTACCTAGATAAAGATATTTAGCTTAACTTGCCTGCCTTAAATTCTTTACTTAAATAAAGATCTCTAGCTTAACTTACTTACCTTAAATTCTTTGCCTAGATAAAGATCTCTAGCCTAACTTACCTGCCCTAAATTCTTTACCTAAATAAAGATTTCTTACTAAACCTAAATTCTTTACCTAAATAAAGATTTCTTACCTAACTTAAATTCTTTACTTAAATAAAGATTTCTTACCTAACCTAAATTCTTTACCTAGATAAAGATTTCTTACCTAACCTAGATTCTTTACCTAAATAAAGATTTCTTACTAAACCTAAATTCTTTACCTAAATAAAGATATTTAGCCTAACTTGCCTGCCCTAAATATTTCTTTACCTAAATAAAGATTTCTTACCTAACCTAAATTCTTTACCTAAATAAAGATTTCTTACCTAACCTAGATTCTTTACCTAAATAAAGATTTCTTACTAAACCTAAATTCTTTACCTAAATAAAAATATCTAGCTAAACCTAAATTCTTTACCTAGATAAAAATATCTAGCCTAACTTACCTGCCTTAAATTCTTTACTTAAATAAAGATATCTAGCCTAACTTGCCTAACTTAAATTCTTTACCTAGATAAAGATTTCTTACCTAACCCAGATTCTTTACCTAAATAAAGATTTCTTGCCTAACCTAAATTCTTTACTTAAATAAAGATATCTGGCTAAACCTAAATTCTTTACTTAGATAAAAATATCTAGCCTAACTTGCCTACCTTAAATTCTTTACCTAAATAAAGATATCTAGCCTAACTTGCCTGCCTTAAATTCTTTACTTAAATAAAGATTTCTTACCTAACCTAAATTCTTTACTTAGATAAAGATTTCTCGCTTAACCTAAATTCTTTACCTAAATAAAGATTTCTTGCCTAACCTAGATTCTTTACCTAAATAAAGATTTCTTACTAAACCTAAATTCTTTACCTAAATAAAGATTTCTTACCTAACTTAAATTCTTTACTTAAATAAAGATATCTAGCCTAACTTACCTGCCTTAAATTCTTTACCTAAATAAAGATTTCTTACTAAACCTAGATTCTTTACCTAAATAAAGATTTCTTGCCTAACTTAAATTCTTTACTTAAATAAAAATTTCTTACCTAACCTAAATTCTTCGCCTAGATAAAGATTTCTTACCTAACCCAGATTCTTTACCTAAATAAAGATTTCTTACCTAACCTAAATTCTTTACCTAAATAAAGATTTCTTACCTAACCTAAATTCTTTACTTAAATAAAGATTTCTTACCTAACTTAAATTCTTTACCTAGATAAAGATTTCTTACCTAACCTAGATTCTTTACCTAAATAAAGATTTCTTACCTAATTTAAAATCTTTACCTAAATAAAAATATTTAGCCTAACTTGCCTGCCTTAAATTCTTTACCTAAATAAAGATTTCTTACTAAACCTAAATTCTTTACCTAAATAAAGATATCTAGCCTAACTTACCTGCCTTAAATTCTTCACCTAAATAAAGATTTCTTACTAAACCTAAATTCTTTACCTAGATAAAGATATCTAGCCTAACTTACCTGCCCTAAATTCTTTACCTAAATAAAAATCTCTAGCCTAACTTACCTGCCTTAAATTCTTTACCTAAATAAAGATTTCTTACTAAACCTAAATTCTTTACCTAAATAAAGATTTCTTACTTAACCTAAATTCTTTACCTAAATAAAGATTTCTTGCCTAACTTAAATTCTTTACCTAAATAAAGATTTCTTACCTAACCTAAATTCTTTACCTAAATAAAGATTTCTCGCCTAACTTAAAATCTTTACTTAAATAAAGATATCTAGCCTAACTTACCTGCCTTAAATTCTTTACTTAGATAAAGATTTCTTACTAAACCTAAATTCTTTACTTAGATAAAGATATTTAGCCTAACTTACCTGCCTTAAATTCTTTACCTAAATAAAGATTTCTTACTAAACCTAAATTCTTTACTTAAATAAAGATTTCTTACTTAACCTAAATTCTTTACCTAAATAAAAATTTCTTACCTAACTTAAATTCTTTACCTAGATAAAGATTTCTTGCCTAACCTAGATTCTTTACCTAGATAAAGATTTTTTACCTAACCTAAATTCTTTACCTAAATAAAGATCTCTAGCCTAACTTACTTAACCTAAATTCTTTACCTAGATAAAGATTTCTTACCTAACTTACCTGCCTTAAATTCTTTACCTAAATAAAGATCTCTAGCCTAACTTGCCTAACCTAAATTCTTTACCTAAATAACTTAAATTCTTTACCTAAATAAAGATTTCTTACTTAACTTGCCTGCCCTAGATTCTTTGCCTAAATAAAGATTTCTTACCTAACTTAAATTCTTTGCCTAGATAAAGATATCTAGCCTAACTTGCCTGCCCTAAATTCTTTATATAGATAAAGATATTTAGCCTAACTTACCTGCCTTAAATTCTTTACCTAGATAAAGATCTCTAGCCTAACTTACCCGCCCTAGATTCTTTATATAAATAAAGATGTCTAGCCTAACTTGCCTGCCTTAAATTCTTTACCTAAATAAAGATTTCTTACTAAACCTAAATTCTTTACCTAAATAAAGATTTCTTACCTAACTTAAATTCTTTACTTAAATAAAGATCTCTAGCCTAACTTGCCTACCTTAAATTCTTTACCTAGATAAAGATTTCTTGCCTAACCTAAATTCTTTACCTAAATAAAGATTTCTTACCTAACCTAGATTCTTTACCTAAATAAAGATTTCTTACCTAACCTAAATTCTTTACCTAAATAAAGATCTCTAGCCTAACTTGCCTAACCTAAATTCTTTACTTAAATAACCTAAATTCTTTACCTAGATAAAGATTTCTTACCTAACTTGCCTGCCTTAAATTCTTTACCTAAATAAAGATTTCTTGCCTAATTTAAATTCTTTACCTAAATAAAGATTTCTTACCTGCCTTAAATGCCTTGCTGTATTAAACCCTTATTCTAAATAAAGGTTTTATTATAAAATAATAATTTTTTTTTTCTCTATTTTTTATTTTTTTTTTTTTTTTTTTTTTTTTTTTTTTTTTTTTTAAAGTAACCTAGGTAGCCACTTAGGTTAAAATTAACCTAATAAACTCTCTCCATAGTATGCCAATCTCCTTACTGCCTAAAGATTAGCAATACCTAATAGATTATTATAAGTAGGCCTTAAGTCTCCTACTAAAAGTATATATAGTAAGTTACCTTTTAGTTCTTTATGCCTTTTACCTCGCTTATAATAAAGCGATCTTAGTCAGCCAGCCAGGCAAGGCCTATAAAAAAGCAACGCTAACCCTAAATCTCCCCCTCTTAACCTAAGACTAATAATTTTACCTCTCTAATTAACAAGCTGCTCTCTGCTTAAACATTAATAAGGAATTACCTTCTTACTATAGCAAAAGTTCCCCTTAATATCTTATTAACGCATTAAAGGGTTAGATTAAACCGGCTTATTAATAAAGGTTATATTAACAGTCTGCGCAAGAGTTTTAAGAATAGGGGCATAAGCAGAATAAAATAAAAGAACTATATAAAAGTCACATATAGCGCTAACATAGTTCAGGCCATTAAGGCATACATTACTGCTTAATAAAGCTTAAAACTGTAAGAGGAGCTAACTAGTTAACCACCAGCACAGGGTCCCTTACTTAAGCCACTGGATTTTTATAAGTGGGCTAACGCTATAAATAAGCTTGCAGAGATCCTTAATAGTCAGCATTACCTAATAGCAGCCTAACACATCCTCCACAACAGCAGCAACACCAACAGTTAGTGGATTTGCAAGATATATAATTAAGGTAATGTAATACACTGCAAACGCCTACCCTACCTTAAAATAAAAGCTAACCAGGCAATTACTATAACTAAATAAACGCTCTTTTTAATAATATCCAGATGCAGCTTTATATAAACAGGCAGGACCTAAAGCTTGCAGACTAGGATAGGCAGATATAGCTTTAACTTATATTAATCTATAATAAACAGGGCAGCAACCTTCTTAAAAAAGAAGACGCTTAAGATGCTATTTAAAAACTTACTGCTGCCCTCTATCTTAACAGCAAGAACGTAATATAGCTCCCTAGTTAGATATCCCTAATCCTTAGGAACCCACTATAAAGACGCTTTATAACATTATAGTGCAGTACAGCCATTAATAAGGAGACCTTTAATATATTTAAGTAGGCTAACATAGTGTCTCTAAGGCTTAATAATATAAGTTAACCTTATTAACCTACTAGCACTAGCTAGTAATAGAATAGCTGCTGCCAGGAAGTTATTTTAAAGCAGAAGGAATTATAATATATTACGCATGCCATCTACTGCTAATACAGAAGCTATTACTAAATACTAGCTAATTTATTTTACTATATAAGCTGCAGTTCTTCATTAGGCGTTTCCAGCCAGTCCTTAATACACTAGCCGCCCTTAACGCAAAGCTCTAATAACACAGCTAGGCCCTGTTAAACAAGATCTTGCTTAATAACTAGAACTACCTTACAGGACTGCTCTAAAATAGCTATAATATAAAGGCTGTTAATAACATTCCCAGAGATAGGCAAGAGACGCTATAAAGCAGGAGGAATAAAAGAGGAGACAGAAAGAGGGCAAGAGACTATACTGCATCCGCTATTACTAGCCTTAGCAGCAAACAGTTTAATTAGCTAGTAACAGCTATTAAAGACACTAGCTGCCTGCACTTTCTGCCTTTTAAGCCCCTGCTTAAGCTAAGGAAGACTAATAGAAAGACGCTTAGCATAATTATAGCCTATATTATAGCCTAGGTTAACCCCTCCCCAGCAGACTTTTAACACACTATTAGCAATAAGCCGCCGCTATACAAGGGCCTTAAGCCAGCATTCAGGCATTATAATAGCATTAAAAACCTAAATAAGATTACCTAATTAGCCATTAAACTTAAGCAACAGGTCCTTAAACACGCACTTAGCCTGCCTAAAAAGCTTAAGTGCCTTATTAGCATAAACAAACCCCCTATTAAGGATATTAATAACAGTAAAGACTAATATAACAAGCGCTTTAGCAAGAGCCTTATTTAGCAAGGCGCCCTCTAGATTATCTAGCTTAGCTTAAGCAATAGCATCTGCAGTAGATAGACTAATAGTAATTCTAGTACTAGCAGCACAGTAAACTACAAACAGCATAAAGAAGCAGCAGAGGGATTAAAGGGATTTTAGCATTATCTACAAAACAGCATTATAACTCTAGCCATTACCCTAGTACAGGATAGCTATATTACCTAGTAACTATAAGCCGCTAGCAGAGAGCCTTTTAGCAGGTTATATAGCCTACTTAGGCAGGCAGTTAATATATAGCAGCATAATAAAGACAGCATCTACTAAGGTAATAGTAGGCCAGGAGCAAGCGCAAGCAGAGCTTAGCTGCATCACTATAACCATCCACCTAGGCCTAACCTACTATAACAGCCACTATTATTAGGGCAGCTGCAGCTGCTTAAGCAATTACTGTTAAATAGCCTGCCCCCTGCTGCTTACAGAGGCGCTACTAACAGGGCAACCAGATCGCTTCTTATTAAACCTAACATATAATTCGCCAGCGCAACTATAGCCACAGACCACAGCGACAGATATAACATCCTCTTATTAAAGGCGCCGGCTATAAAGGGTGGGCATTAACACAAAAGCAGGACGCTAGTTATTATAATATCAGGGCCCTTTAATAAGTGTGGCCAAGCAGACAGCAGCAAGCGTTTAAAACACGCCTCTGCATTAACTTAAGCAGCCAGGAGCAGCAGAAAACCCTTAAGCAGCCAGGAACCTAAGAAAGGACACGCCCAGCAGAGCATTACATCTAGGGACAAGCTACTAAAGTAGTTAAATAAGGGGTGCGTTACTACCTAGGCATATAAAGTCTTCTTATAGCCTAGGTCTCCCTATTACTAACTACACTCCTCCTATTCTTATAAAGCATAAAGGAGAGCTTCTTCTAGATAGGTACTAAAAAAAAAGTTAAAGATAAATGCAGTCTTAGCTTCTTATCTTAATATCTTTACTTTTCCTCTTATTTATATAGTCCTAATTTACTATATGCAGGGAGCTGGATTTATAAGGTTAGGGCTAGCTAGCAGATAGTCTAGTATATTTTACTATAAAGAGCTAAAGGAGAGTAAGAATAAAATAATAAGAATACTAAGGTAGGGATATAAAACAATTTTATATAAACTTAAATACTAATAAGCTACCTATATTTAAAGAGCTTATTTTTAAAGTTACTACTACTAGTCTAAATGCATATTATAACACTAAGCAAGAGAGAGCCATATAGTAAATATATTATTACCTACCTAGTTCCTATCCTCCCCTCCTACCTTATAGAGACTATTTAGCAGTATAAAAAGCAGCAGACCTAACTAGGCTCTTAGCAATCAGGCCACTAAAAGCACAAGCCTATTGCCTTTAATGCCACTTAACCACTCTTAAGTCTAGCAGAATATAACCAGGAGCCTATCTCCTAACTGGATTATTATTAAGATTCCTAACAGCTAGGACAACCCTGCTAATTCCTTATCCTCCTAAGACAGTTATGCCAACACCATCTATACCTTAAAGGAGGAGACACTAGCTAAGCATTATAACCTAGCCAGACACATCTTAAACAGCAGCTTAAATATCGCCTAGTAGACAGCCATAAAGGACAGGCAAGGCACCAGCCAAGTAGCAGAAGCGCTCTTCACTAGCCTTAACCGCTTCTCTTAAGCACCCTCCCCTAATTAGCTAAAGGCAGACCAAGCCAATCCAGTCCGCCTAATTAAGGACAGCACCAGTAATAAAGACAATAATAATAATAATAATAATAATAATAATAAGGCTAGCATATATAACGTTATTAACCTAGAGGACGCACCCGCTAAGAGAGACTACTCTATTAAGCCCCTAGCCACTATATATAGCAGTAAGTCCCCCCCCTTAAAACATTAGCAAGTCTAAAGTAGCAGCATGCTAATTACAGTTGCCAACCTTATAAACAGCTAAGAGGCTGGCCGCTAAGCTTAATTTATTAAAGACTGGGTTAAAGGCAGTTAGATTTATATAGACAGAGTGCGCTATTAACTAGAGCAAGAGCTCGCGGCCAGTTAAGACCAGGAGCTTAGGTTATAGCATCACGCCTTATAAGCTTAGGATCAGCTTCTTCCTTAACTTCCTTATAATGCTAGGGAAGCCTAGTAAGGCAATATCCTAGCCTATAAACAGCCACCCGCTCTCCTTTATCAGCCTTTTATTTAAGGACTAGTCCAGCCGCTACTTTAACAAGCACCTTAAAAGCGCCCTGCCCTTTACCCTCACTAGCCGCACCTTTAAGATAGGAGCTGACAGGATAGGCATATTATAGTTTATTATCTTTAGCCTAGACCTGCGCCTAGCGCATAGCAGTAAGGAACTAGATAATAACAGCGCAGATAAGCAGCGCAGTAGGGGATAAGGCAATACTAGGGGTATAAGGGCTAAGAAGCGCACTGCCCTTAAGCTCTCCTGCATAAAGAAGTTCGCCAGATACTTTTTAAAATATGCAGATTGCACTATCCTAGGCAGGGGGGTTAAGGGTTCTTAAAGCCTAGGGGGGCTGCAGATAGTATAGGTCTCCTTTAGCAAGTGGTCAGCCATGTAGAATGCCCTGCTTTCTAGCTAGGACGCATTTATTATAGTTAACAGCCCCTGCAACCAGTTCTAGGCTAGCATCCAGCTAGCCTTTTATGCATACAGTTATAAGGGCAATGTCTTAATTAACATTAGTAATAGTAATAATAACATCCTAGTGCCAGTTATAGAGGAGGAGGTGCTAGAAAATAATACTTAGGGCATTTTAAGGGATAAGTACTGCAGTGCTAATAACACAGAGCCTAAGACAGGGCATAAGCGCTAGGTCTAGCGTAGTAAATATACTGCAGGTGCTGCCTCCCCACCCCCCTGCAACAGCCCTATTAAGTCAGTGGCAAGCAAGTTCTAGGATAGCAATAATAATAGGCACACTAACAAGAATGGTAATAACAGGGCTAGGGCAAGGGAGGCTAAAAGCCTAGGGCAACGGCTAATAGAGTTTATAGAACGCGCCCCAGGCCTTTAGCAGCTTAGCCTTATAATAAAGGCAGTGTTCTATCTTAGCGCTATTAACAGCATTACATATGCCCTTACTGCTAATATAGCCTGCAGCTAAAGAGGCAAGGCCTACTCCCTCCTTATAAACTTTATAAAGGTTAATAACCAGTACCTAAGCCTAAGGCAAGCTAACCTAACACACTATCCACTAGCCTTCTACCTAGGCTTTAAGAACTTTACATCTACCTTACCGCCAGCATTTATCTAGGCAGTAATAAACCCTATCTGCTAGAACATAAGCCAGGAGAATAATAGTAATATAGTCACAGCTAGGTATTTCTAAAGCTACTTTAATATTAAAAAAGCCATGCGCTTTAACCTGCAGGATCTCTTAGCTAATAAGGCTATTACTACTACTGCATTAGCATTACTGCATGCCAGGGCTAGTATCACACCTGCGTTTAAGGCTAAATAGCAGAAGCTCCTTAGCTAGCTAAGGGGCAATACTAGCAAGGGCCAGCTTATTCTATACACCCAGGAGGCGCATTAGCTAAGCAAGTGCCTTAATAAGGATAACTTTCCCTTCTACATAAAGCAGGTTATTATTATTTCCGCCTTTTAAATACTGCCTAAGAACTAGACCGCCACTGCTATATTTAGGCCTATAGCATAGCTTATAAGCCTCTTTATTAGGGCTAAGCATTAATACACCCCTATCCTTAAAGTCTTCCCTAAGAGGGCGTTCCTAAGTATCCTTATATCTTACTGCAGGATATTTAAGCTTATTACCTAGGCATTACTTAGGCAGTTTAAGAGCGCAGGGGCTAAGGGCCTGTTAATTACGCTAAGAGAGGGCATAGCTGCTGTAGATTGCCTAGGAAACTTCTGCTTTACTGGCAATTAAAGGGTTATACCTAAGGCCATGTTTAAGTACACTGGCATATAGATAAGCATCAGGGCCTATGCATTCCTATATATTAACAGGGCTGTGCTAAGCCTGAATAGCATAAGGCGGATAAATATAATAGAATAGCCTAGTATTAAGGACAGGCAGGTATACCTCCTCTAGGCCGCTATGCTAAAGTACTACTATAGCAGGCAGGTTGCTGCTAAGTAAGAGGCTAAGGCTAGGATGCAGCTCCTATTTAGGGATAAGGAGGCTATAGCTAGCAAGGTTAATATACTCTTCTAGAGCTAGTTTATCTTAAAGATATGCTAATTCTTTACCAGCAGGGCCTATAAGCTTATTTAAAAGCACTCCTGCAATGCAGAGAGTCTAGCAGGCCTATAGCAGGCATTAAAGAGGGCCAGCCGCAACCTATGCAACTAGGAGGAGGAGGTAAATATAGCAAACCCATTTAGCCTTAAGTAAGTCTGCTCCTAATTAAAACAGAGCGGCTGCAGCCCGGCCCAGCCTAGCGCATTAGTTTAAATATTGCTAACTTAAATTACAGGAGATTTAGCGCTGTCTTAATAACCTTAAGAGGTGCCCTTAAACTAAGTGCTATATCTACTAAGACTGTCACCTATTAGACCTATGCTAAGTGCATGGCCAGCTTCCTTATAAACCCCGCATCTAGCATTACTAAGAGGTTGCTATACTCTAAGGCCATAATATAGCTCGCAACCCTAACCGCTATATATATAATAGCTAAGGACTTATATAAGCCTAGCAAGGCCCTTACAGCCTAAGAGATGCTTATCTCTAACACGCTTAAGGCAGGCAATATTTATTAAGTGCTAGGCAAGGCCTGCGGCATAGTGATAGCAACTATTATCTAAGAGCTAAGGCTAAAGAGGCAGATATATAAAGATCCTTACAGTAACTACCTTCTTAACAGCCTAAAGCAGCTAGGTAAGGAGATCCTAGCTAGTAACTGGCAGGCGGCCAGGCTTATTAAACTAAAGCCTGGCATTAACCTTAGTTACACCTTTCCACTATATAATAGCCTGCTAGTATACCTCCAGATAGGCCATAATACCTTAGTCAGGATCGCTAACTAGGCAAGGGTTAAGGGCTGTAAAGCCATCCTCTCCTACTATAGCAGGGTGGTCGCCCTTCTCCTTAAGCACTAGGCTAAGCCTAAGGTCAAGCTCCTATACATACTAGCTATTACGCTTAGCATAATAAAGGGTATGTTAGTATATAATGCTAAGAGCAACCTGCCTAGCCTAATTATTAAACCTAGTCCTAGGCAGAAAAAGGAGCTAGAGCCTCGCGCCTTCCTTATTACAGTCTATATAATATAGTTCCTTATGCCAGGCAAATTTAAAGATAGTAACAGCTCTGTAAATAAACCCCCTGCAAATAAGGGCCTTACTATAGCTAGTAACTAAACTATTTAAAAGGCAACTAGTAAGTTATCTTAGCTATAACATTACCCCACTAACCTAAGCCTGCAGATTAATATAAGATTATAAATAACATACTAGCAGCAGTTAGGTGGCTCTCTAGCAGCTCCTGCAGTGCAGCTGCTAAGTCTAGGCAGTTATGCTTAAAGAGTAAGTTAATGCTGCTTAAGAGGCATAAGCACTTACGCAGTCTTTTAAGTAGCCCTAGACAGTTTATAGCAGCTGTCTTTAAGAGTCAGGATAGGTTTTAAGAGGAGCAGTGTTATAAGCTTATTAAGTTAGCTTACTAAATATTTATATAATTAACTTAATAATTATATAATATAAATATTTATACTACTTTTATAGCTTTATAATATTTATAATTTTATTATATATTTATAATTTTATTATATATTTATAATTTTATTATATATTTATAATTTTATTATATATTTATAATTTTATTATATATTTATAATTTTATTATATATTTATAATTTTATTATATATTTATAATTTTATTATATATTTATAATTCTATTACATGTTTGCAATTCTATTATATGTTTGCAATTCTATTACATGTTTGCAATTCTATTACATATTTGCAATTCTATTACATATTTGCAATTCTATTACATATTTGCAATTCTATTATATATTTGCAATTCTATTACATATTTATAATTCTATTGCATATTTATAATTCTATTACACATTTGCAATTCTATTACATATTTACAATTCTATTACATATTTATAATTCTATTATATATTTGCAATTCTATTACATATTTGCAATTCTATTACATATTTGCAATTCTATTACATATTTACAATTCTATTACATATTTGCAATTCTATTATATATTTGCAATTCTATTATATATTTGCAATTCTATTGCATATTTATAATTCTATTATATATTTATAATTCTATTATATATTTGCAATTCTATTATATATTTACAATTCTATTATATATTTGTAATTCTATTATATATTTATAATTCTTCTTTTCTATTATTTAACCTACTAAGCGCATTTAATAACTTAAGACTGTCTGCAATCCCTTTTATCTTATTATATAAATAAGCTTAATCTTATATAAAGGCTGCTGTAATATTATTAATAAAGCTCTTCTTCTCTCCTTCTTTTCTATTATCTAACCTACTAAGCGCATTTAATAACTTAACTTAACCCCTAATAAACTATAAAGCAATTAAGGAGTAAATAAAGCAAGGTTAAGGACTATAATAGCGTCTGCCTTACCTAGAATGTGTTCCCTAGTTCTAAAGTAAGGTGTTAGTATATATTAAAAACTTAGCAGGAGGAGATAAAGGGATACTTATGTAGTTAGGCAAGCTAGCGCTAAAGGCCCCCACAGCTATTTTAATCCACTTAATATCCTCCTTAAGGCGCGGGTTTGGCTTAAGCTCCTTAAAAATAGTGGCAATTACTATAAGCAGTATTAGCGGCTAGAGGGTGTTAAACTTACTTAGGGGGGTAGCGGCTTAGGCAGCAGTAGAAGATATTAGCCTTGCAGCCGCTTTAGATTTACTAGATTATGGCGTCTTGCAGGCAGTTCTTAATAATGGCCTGCTTAATTACGCGGATGCGCTATATAAGGTTGTTGTCAGCCTTGGCTTCGGTCTAGTTTATCTAGCTTGTGTAAGCGCTGGCGAGCGCAGTCATGTTATTAACGGGCCTGAGGTGGTCTAAAGGGGCGGCAGAACTATATAGGCTGGCTATATACTAAGGGATGCTATACTGCAGGGGCTGGCTGTAGCTTAGGGCCTAGCTAGGCGGCTGGCTAGGCAGGAAGCTTAGCTAGTAGCTGGCTATAGTATTAGCAATGCTATAGGATTTAATGCTGTAGGCAATGCTGCTGGGGTGCAGCATGTTATTAACGCCACCTAGGGGGGATATAAAGCTAGTTATAGAATAGGCTTTTATAGCTAACTAGGCAAGCGTATTTAAGGCGGTTAAGTAACTTAATATCTAGAGTGCTGCAGACTTCCTTAAGGATATAGAGGTAGCAGTCAGCTATGTATAGTTGCAGTAAACTAATTAAGGGCTTATTATAAAAGAGCGCCTTGTAAAGCATAATATTACTAGGTAAATTAGCATGTGGCTCTAGATTATAAATATAAGTAAAGTGGGCGCTTACTTTAGCCTATAGGAAGAGTTGTTTATTAGGGATGGCGGCTTAGACATTAGTAATAATAACTTATATATATTGCTTAATACAGCCGTTTAACTTTTCTAAAGTGGTAGCAAGCGTCTATAGTAAGTGCTAGCAAGTTAAAAACTATTTATTTACTAGATCTCTTTTACTCTGGCTGTGTTAGGGACTAATGGTTTTCTGCAGGTATATAGGTAAAGCTAATAATAAGAGCACTGCTTGCATATATTACTGTTTATTAATTAAGCAGAAACATTTGCCTTACGTAGCTAAGGACTGCAGCAGGGGTGCCTGAAAAGGGAATTAAAGCCTATCTGCCTACTAGGGTGCGGTTTTAACCTTTAGTAAACACTAATAACTACTGCCTATTACTAATTAGTATTATATAGTAATTAAAAGACTATATAAGCGCTAATTATCCTATTTAAAGATATTCCAGTTTTAAGCTGTAAATGCAGAGTTTATTTCCTGCTAGGGCCTGGACTAACTGCATAACTTAATCCTAATATTCCACCACTGTCTTATTAGCAGCTAAGTAAATACACCAGTCTTAAAGCAGGAGATTAAATATTTATATAAGGGGGCCCTGCTAGGGCCTAAGGCCTACTTCTAGAGTCACAACTCCTGCTAAACATCTCCTAATATCTTAAATTGTTAGTCCTATTAGTCCTTTAAGAGACAGCTGGAGCTAGAAGGTCGCTAAGTAGCCGCTTAGGGTTAGGGTTAGGGTTAGGTTAGGGTTAGGGTTAGGGTTAGGGTTAGGGTTAGGGTTAGGGTTAGGGTTAGGGTTAGGGTTAGGGTTAGGGTTAGG